AGGCATCAAAAACCGGAACCATAGGCAAACATGGATTGCATCATGTGAAGAATTTTGGGAAACCCTCCAGTGCGATGGCCTCCGAGTGAGTCCGCAAGTGCTATATGATTAAAAAAATAAATAAACACACACACACACAATTTAAGACCCATGGGTCTCCTAGGATCTTCTCCTTTCTGGAGCTCATGGCAATGCCCGGAACGGTCAGGGCGTCTGTGAAGCGATGGTCAGTTCCTTCCACTGCCTCCGGCCGCTGCGGCTCGCGCGGCGGCTCCCGCGCCTCGATGGTGGCCACGAGCACGTTCCCCGCGATGAGCACGGCGGACCACACCTGGCGGCGACCGGAGGCGCCGGTGGAGGGAGAAGGAGCTGGGTGGAGACGTAGAGACCGGAGGGACTCTGGCCGAGTAGAAGAGGGTGCAGGAAGCTGCTGATGGTGGAAAGGATCGAGAACTCGACCTTTTTTGAGAGACACGACTTGTCTTGTGTCTACTTCTCTTTTGGGTTGGGAGATGTACATGGACACTCCGAGCCACGGTTCCGAAGTGGATCGGCAGCAGGTGGTCACGGTGTCCTTCCATGCCGAAACCCCCCCGGAGCGTGTCTCGAGCCGAGCCGGGAGAAGAAGAGGCCTGGTAACTGGGATGCTCCAGGAAGTTGCAGCGGCCATTTCTCCTGCCGAACCACCGGTGAACCAAAAGCGACGGAACAAAGCGATGGAAAATGCGTCGGTCCCGAGTTGCGGGTTCCGGACGCAGCGGGGGGGACCAGTGGGCGCCGGCGGTTTGGAACGAGTGCGGGGGTTGGAAAGGAAGTGGGTGGAGCCAGGTGTTTTTTGGATGCGCCGCTTTCAGAGGAACTTTGAGGCAAAGAACTTCAAGGCTTCAAGGAATCTACTTCTACCAGGACCCGACTCGTTCGTGGTGTCTATTGATAGCCCCTTAGCTGTGAGTGATTTGGGGTGTCCATGTCTACCACCCCACCCAAGGCGCTCCCAATGGCCCATCTCCGACCCGGTGACCGGTGGTAAGACAGACCCCCCCCAGACCACCCACCCCGGTAGCCCATGGTAGCCCATCGAACCGGAGGTGGGCTCTAGCAGCTCCCTCAGCAGCTCTAGTCCTTAGACTTGATTTCCACTCGAGTAGACTGATAGTTGTCATCTCTCCATCCCCCCCGTTTTCAGCACGTTCTCCTGGACATGTCAGCTTCCAAGTCTGTCTGCACCTGGCACCAAAACCACGACAACTACGCGGTCACCATGGTCTATACAACTGACGCGTGGTCACGGGTGGTCTTTGGGATAGAAGCTTGAGAATGGCATATTGTCTGTTTATTGTACTCAGATTGCAAGTGGAGCTGGTCTAAAGCCCCCAAAACCTCAAGATTGCTGGAGGATCATCTTCCTAACCACCAGGCTGTCTTGTGAGCCGTTGCACGAAAAAGCCTAAAATATAAAATCGTCCGGTCACTGGACTAAAACCTTGGAGTTTCATGGAGTCTTCCTCGAACACGCGGCGTGTTGTGACAGCCCTCTTCACTTCGTCACAGGAACAGAATGGAGCACAGCATCGAAACAGTGTCTTCAGGATCACTGCACACGATCATGCATCCGGTGTTCTTTCTTGCCTGTCTGGTGAGTTCAGTGCCTTCGAGATGTTGAGGGTTTAGCCGGTTTCCCGGGTCATGTAACCAATGTACCACGTGATGCTGGAAGTGAAACGGGTCATTTCGTCAACACGATCCAACCAATGAAAAGCCACACTACGTGCAAGAAGCCACCACGGAAGAAGCAGCTGCGAATCTCAACACACATTTAGTCCATGTTCACTCTCAACTTGTTAAGCCAGTTTGTATTTGTCGGCTTCTATCAATATACCAATAATATATATACCACATGCAGTGAAACAAATCGGCACATTCTTTCGTTGGTCATGCTCGGACCATGCTAAGCAGCTAAGCCACCTGTGGCCGAACAAAAAGGACTCCTCGTACAGCATTGCTGGGAAATCCTTCCCAAACAATCCAATGGGACTGGCACATTTACCTCCTTGGGGGCGGTTGACCCGGGGTCAATGTAGGTAAATATACTAACCGCCACTGACATAGGATTTGTCGGAGGTATGCTACTACCATGTCATTGGTACCAGCAAGTCCTAAGTCATTGGTCCTAAGTCATTGCTACCAACCAAATCCGAAGTCCTAAATATTCTCATCCATGCGATGATCTGGGTTTCCGCCAAACGGCCTCCTTGTCCCAACCAAACCTGCCCACCACACCACCCACACCGACCCACGCCGCGCCCGTGTGCGGTACGGCCGCAACGGGAAGGTCTCCACCTATCCGAGCACGGAGAACATGCGCGGAGCACGGAGCAGCACTGCTGTCTTCTGTCTGAGGGGGTCTGTGTTGCAGGTGACAGGTGTTGAAGCGGCAAGAAGGTACCAGGACCCTCCAAGTGGTGTCTTTATAGCCCCTTGGCTGTTGGGAAGATATCAGGTGCTTGGACAGCAAATCCGATTTGGTTCGGTCATATCCGACTTGTGACTTTATTGAAGAAAACCGTTCTAAAAAACCAGCAAAGCGCTCAAAAACCCGGTTTTCACCCCACCCATCCCTCCTCCCTGCCCAACCCGCCCTGCCCATCTCTGCGCGTCGATGCCACGACCTGACCCAGCTCGAAGTCACGAGCATCGCCATAGGTCTGTCGTCCTTGTCGGCTGGTCCTTGGGGAGCCAAGCCAGGGGCGCTGCCAGGTACCGTGGGCTTCTCCAGTTTTTGTTGGGGGGGGAGTGGAAAAGGACAGGGGAGAAATGGGCGTTCAAGCATATGTTGAGGTGGGATAAGGGGGGAATCTGAAATTCCACCAGATGCTGACACAGCATCTGTTCCTGTGTCGGAATTACCCAAGGAAGAAAACAAAGGACGATAACTATACTATACTCTTAAGTCTTTTTGATTGAAATTGCTGCTTGCTTCTTCAATTTTTGGGAGGCTATTCGAGTCCCTGAGTGGCACCGGAATTACAGTGTACCGGTGGTGAACACCTGTGGGGATATTCAATGAATCATTAATCAATATTACTGTATGTAATGTAGACTCTTGATTGATTAATAATCGATGAATCAACACTTTAACACCCACCCCATTGGGATTCAACAAAAACTAACTTTTCAAGCTTGGACGGTTTTATTCATCAAAGGTTTGACTCAGACATCGTCTCGGTCACTGCGCAGCCCGGCATGACGTGCTCCCGCAACGGCGCAGCGGCGCGGCGGGAACAGCGCAGGCTCAACCCATGGCTCTCACGGGGAGCGGGCTAGGCTCCGTATGTGGGGTACAGCTGGATGGGCTAGGCTGGATGGTACAGCTGGGGCGCCTGGAGGTGCTTTGAAAGAGCAAATGTGCGGAAAAAGGGTGATGAAGCTGGCGGAGTTTTGGCGGTTGATGAGGCTTTGGCCGATCCTTTCATGGAAAAAACACTTGAGATACGCTTACAGTGGGGCGGCGAGGGGGGGTCAATGTGGTTGTGGTGGATCTTTGACCAGTCATGGCGCTGCTCAATAGAAGCTTTTGGCCAGTTCAAGCCTTTCAGATGTTCTCTTTCCAGCTGGCTTTGTCACCTCTCTTGAACAGGGAAGCGCAACAATATATATCATTATCATATATATAAAAGAAGCAAACGGGGCCGTAGAGTCATATATACTATAAATTTTTAATAGTTAAATACAAAACCAAGCAACAACATATCATGGCATCTTTGTCCGATGGTTGCTGTGATGCTTCAACTGCACTCTTTCTGTGCCCCTTTTCATGCGAGTCGGATGCTTTGAACCCCCGCGGCTCCAATCGTCGCCACGCGCAGGCGCGGTTGGGCACGGTAAGACCGGCACGGCAAGTGGGTCCAAGCAGTTTCAGCTGGAAAGTGGGTGGATCTGTTCTCTCTCTCTCTCTCTCTCCCCACCCCCGGAGCCCTTTTGTTGGAACATCAAGCGTTTTACGCGTAGCGCAGAAGACGGCTCCGTCGCTCCTCCGTTCTTTTTTTTTGGCTTCGCTGCGCAGCGGTGGTGTTCGGAGCATGCGGGGGATGACCAGGGATCGATGGGACTTCCGCCTGGCTCCATCTAAAAGCTCCGGACGGGAAAATTGGGGTCTCGCTCTTCGCCCGCGGCTGAGAGCGGCAGGACGTCTAGAGGACCTGATCGGCACCCGAGGTGAAGCATGCGGCCGCTGAGAGAGATGGGGCGCTTGCGGAGTTGCCACCAATAGTGATGCGCTCAAATATTGCTTTGATCATGGGTACCCATCTTCGGGTGTGGGTGAACATAAGTGGGAGAGAACGCCGTGCTCATCCATGGTCCCAACATATCCATGGTCACACGGAAGTGGCATGGAATCAGGAATCAGTTGGGGTGATTCACCAGCATTTGGGGGTCAATATAGAGGTAAATCTTCCCATCCCATGGATGTTGGTGGCTTCTTTTTGTGGAGCATACCTGGTGGATCTGATCGAAGGTCTCCAGCGTATGAGGCTGAATGAAGGTCCAGCGTATGTAAGACATTCGTACCAACTTCCTGAAGGAACAGAAACGGAATGAAACCAACTATAAACTCATGCTTCATCTTTCAGAACGACAGCATGTCTTTCCATCTGCAACAAGATGCAATAAGCATCTTGAGCACCTGAAGCAAAGAAAGCACAAAGAATGGTCCGTTTTTAGATGCTGAGTGATGGAGGAGAACTTGGATGAATTTGGAGAACTTCGCCCAACAAATGTCGTTCTCCTACGCTTACACTAGCACTAGCACTGCACTCTGACTCGGCGTGGCCCCCCCGTGAAGTGACCATGAAATCCTCTACAAACAGGTAGTTTCCATGTTAGTGAGTCAGAGCGTATAGATGCCCTACTAGGTGATAGTAGAAACCAAAGGCAACTTTGCAGAAGCACCTGCTCACCAGAACTCACTCAAGGAGCTCACATTTTTGGTAGAATTCCATTCAATCGACAGCAAACATCGAAGTGAACATATACCTGATAAGCATTGTATCATCCCTTTTCCTTGAGCTGACGGGTCTTTGTTGTATGTATATCTCCACCAGGTTCTGCCTCCGAGTGACATCCACGCACTTGAGATCCTCCATGCACTTCACCAAGCGCTCCGCCATGGACTCTTCGCCGGAGCGCAAGGACATGCGAGGATCGTAGTACTTCTTGTTGGGCTTCTCAGCTCCCTCGGGCTATCCGAGCGTCCGATGCGGCAACAAATATACATGCTGCTTCGTACTGAAGCAAAACAGATTCTGTATAATTCCATATCTTCATCCATGAAAAATCCAGAGTGCTGGGTGAGACATGATTGATCATGATTGTCTCTTAAGGACGGATTCTGGCGATCTTCTGCGATCTTCTGCCATCTGAACTGATCTGAACGAACGAAACGGTGGGCCACCGGAAGGGGCCTTGGAAGGTCACCCGGTCCCGCAGGTCCCTGACGACGCCGTGTCCTTCAACGGCAACGCGACCGAAGAGTTCGGACGCCGAAGGCCTCGGGGTTGCCAATCTGGGCCTGCAAGTAGTCCTGCATGCCCAGTTGGCCCCAAACACCAACGGATGGCGTTGCGCTGTGACTTCGCGGCGGAGATCGAACGGCCCGTGGGGCGCGGAAGGGACCCGCGAACGGCGGACCCGCGAAGCGGGGACGTCGGACCCGCGGGTTCGCCGTGTAGCGACCGCGGAACGACGGAGCGTCGGACTCGGAGTCAGAGTCTGGACTCGGACAGACTCGGAGGGGCTTCCGGTCAAGGTCGGGGTGGCGAGAAGGCCGATGCGAGAACATCCGATGCGAATGGGGTTAGGAGTTCATGATCCGGAGAAATCCTTTTAACTCATAACTTGACGATTTTTCGAAGCAACGGAACTCCTGAGTAGGATGGGGAGGAGTTTCCGGTCAAACGAACGCAGTAGCAAGAACGCGAGTTGAGAGAATGCGAGAATGGCAGAGACATAAAAGAATTGAAGTTCATGGAGAGTTCATGGAAAACTGCAGTCATCATCAGATCCAGGGGGTGGTATCAAATGAAACAAGATGGAACCCACGAACCCGAATGCAAACACGATCGAAAAACTAATATGTCCAAAGGACACTCTTGTAGGACACTCTGGCGGGACACTCTGTAGGACACTCTTGTGGGCCACTCTTGTAGGAAACTCTTGTGGGACACTCTTGTAGGACACTCTTGTGGGACACTCTTGTGAGACACTCTTGTAGGACACTCTTGTAGGACACTCTTGTCGGAAACTCTTGTGGGACACTCTTGTGGGACACTCTTGTGGGACACTCTTATAGGACACTCTTGTGGGACACTCTTGTGGGACACTCTTGTAGGACACTCCTGTACGACACTCTTACACTCTTGTGGGACACTCTGCGGGACACTCTTGTGGGATACTCTTGTGGGACACTCTTCTAGGACACTCTTGTGGGACACTCTTGTAGGACACTCTTGTGGGATACTCCTGTAGGACACTCTTGTGGGGCACTCTTATAGGACACTCTTGTGGGACACTCTTGTGGGACACTCTTGTAGGACACTC